CTTGTTGGATATGAGATGATTATAGCCAACTCGGCTCTACGCGCCTCGTTGGCTAGCTATCTATAAAAAATCTCAGATATATCCAACGCGCGCTCGTGGAATAAATGTTAATTATGGATACAGTCGGACGTAATCGGAATACCGAAGATGTCATCGAGAATATTGACAGGATAATATGTTTTGTTGTTATTCAGGCGCGTAAGGTGCATGAGGGAGAGATATCAATGTTCAAACTTTCCTTCTTCTTGAAAGTGAAACAGTCTGTTTTCTAAAGAAAATGGGCTCTGTTGTATGTACAGCTGCAACGGTAGGCGAAGTTTGTTTTTTGTAATTCCTATGTAATGAAGCTGACTTCGATTTTCGATTCAACAGAAGCAAGCTGGTTCTATCAAAGGGAGTGACAAACATACTGATCGGAGCGTAATATCGAAAATATGCTTCAGTGTGAGACTCAGCGGAATACTCTTTTACCTTCATCTTGTCAAGGATTATTATGAACTTTGGAAACCTCTCAATTTCAGAGCTTTAATACTATGCTGAGATCTTCACTCGAAAAGAATCAGTGGATGAATCGTACTGTTTAACTAAAAAAAATTATGGCGATTTACCTACGCACTTTAGTCAAGATTAAGAGGCCGTCTCTCTTATTTCCACCCGGTCAATTTTGCGTCAAAAATAATTTTGCCTGAAAATCCGTCAACTGAAAAACTTTACTTAGGAAAGAACTAAATCAGATTTGGTTTGATTCGAAATAATTTTCCGACTGCACTAGAGGCCATAATAGTGACTATCGCTACGTCTCAAAAATTGAAAATAGGCATATTTTGGGAGTAACTTCAGAATACCCGGCCTCTTTTAAACGTTAACAAATCGATTGTTCCATCGCTCCCGAAGTCGAAAAATAAGTAGAAGAGAGGGCAGTTAAATTAGGGCTCCCGCAGTCCCGTGCTCCCGAAGTCGAAGAATAATTGAGAGAGAGGTCAGTTGGACAGTGCTCCGGCATTCCCGGGCTCCCGGTCTGTATATTGTGAGATTTAACGCCACTAACTCGATCAGTCTGTATATTGTACTATTTAACGCCGTTAGTTAACGGTTTTAATTTAGGTTTACTGAAGAACGAAGAATGTATATATTTGAATGCGTGGGTTTTATTTAATTTGGCGACTTCGGGACTGCAGAAGCAGCTATTTTGAAGATGCATATTAATGAGTGGCCGGGTATTTTAAAGTTAATAGGCATATTTTGTAACATTGTAAAATAATTGATTCGCATAGTTAAGCCACGAAATTTATATCAGATTGCTTAAAAAACCTTCTAGTTTTCCAGGAAAGTTAGAATTTCCCTCTCAATATATTTGAAAAGGCGAATTTTAACATATTCTGACCATGCACTTTACATCAAAATCGGCCTATGGCCGTAAATAACCTTGATTTAGATGTTAAGTTTTGAGTTTTGGGACCTGACTGATAGCTCTATCCTACACAGCCGTTAATGTTAGACCTTTATAGGAAAGCACTTGCAAAAACCCCTGTACGTTTTCGACTTTTCAAAAGTTATGAGCCTTTGAATCAGCACATGTACGAGCATTTGCAATGGTTAGTGCGGACCTCTGTGAAAGCAGCATCACTGCTAATCAATCAATCAATTTAGCGTGGTCAGAACGCTTAGCTAAAAGTTAGTTTACAGGTACACCACGAAATAAAAAGAGAAAAGGAAATTATAAAGCCTTGTGAAGGTATATAAATTTAAATAAATTAAGATTAAGAACTAGCTAAGATTAAAATATAAGAATTTAACAATGTAAGTCACCGAATTGAATATATAAAATGTAATCGTTAAAAACAGGAAATATTATTAAGAATAGATCCTCACCGCGATATTTTTTAAGTGCTATTGTTCAGCTGCAAATTCCATAATTATACCCCTCAAACTTCGACACATAGACTTCTGGAGTTCAATGATTGATTCTTGAAGAAAATGCAGCTGCAATCCAAAGTTTCAATAGGACATTAAGCACAAAACATGGCTTCAGTTTCGAGTTTAGTTCGCAACAATGAGTTAGAAAAAAGAACCTCTTGTCGTCCTCCCCGACGGCTAAAGTTTGGAGTTACTTTCTGGAGTTATCATTAAGTTTACCAGTTTATGGAGTGNTGCGGACCTCTGTGAAAGCAGCATCACTGCTAATCAATCAATCAATTTAGCGTGGTCAGAACGCTTAGCTAAAAGTTAGTTTACAGGTACACCACGAAATAAAAAGAGAAAAGGAAATTATAAAGCCTTGTGAAGGTATATAAATTTAAATAAATTAAGATTAAGAACTAGCTAAGATTAAAATATAAGAATTTAACAATGTAAGTCACCGAGTTGAATATATAAAATGTAATCGTTAAAAACAGGAAATATTATTAAGAATAGATCCTCACCGCGATATTTTTGAAGTGCTATCGTTCAGCTGCAAATTCCAAAATTTTACCCCTCAAACTTCGACACATAGACTTCTGGAGTTCAATGATTGATTCTTGAAGAAAATGCAGCTGCAATCCAAAGTTTCAATAGGACATTAAGCACAAAACGTGGCTTCAGTTTCGAGTTTAGTTAGCAACAATGAGTTAGAAAAAAGAACCTCTTGTCGTCCTCCCCGACGGCTAAAGTTTGGAGTTACTTTCTGGAGTTATCATTAAGTTTACCAGTTTATGGAGTGAGGAATGTCCGAAATTTCACGTAAACCCAAGATTCATCAGCTAAACCTCAGAATACCCGGCCACTTATTTACATGTCATTAAATAAGAATAGCCTCTATTGTGTTATGCCTCATTCTTCAAAGCCTCCCGGCACATGTAAAAGAGGTGGACATGTATTCTTTTTCGTCAAAGGTACGCTGTATTTATGACGAGATCTGCTGTAGGGGTTTGACTTCGGTGTAGGCTACTACATATGTGCTGATTCAAACACTCATAACTTTTCTTTCCTAGATGTAAAGTCTTTCAGTTGACTAAGTTTCAGACAAAATTATTTTTGACGTGAAATTGACTGGGTGGAAATAAGAGAGACAGCCTCTTAACCATTTATGGATGTGAAGTAATTTATCACATCCTGCAAGAGGTTCTTTTTTCTAGACTCTCACCAAAACATCAGATTTAGCCTCCTTAATAAATGCTTGTTGATAAATTAAGTCATCCTACCTCTCAAACCCCCCTCCCCCCCCTCGCTACTGCAAGTCAAGACCAGGCGACTGCCTATATGCATGGTGGTTGGTAGTTTGAGGTGGTAAGACTCTCAGATTTTAGATAAAAAACTTTTCCATGGACGCCATACCCAATCATTTTCAGATTTCTTGCTTTACACAGAGAATCAATTATGCATGAAGATATGTCTTCTTATACATGTACAGAGATATAATATTGAATTTTTTTCAGTACATCATAGTTAGCTCAAAGTCCCTCAATAACCCTTTTGATAATTCTGTACATTTCATTGGTTAGTGTGCATGTTGCTGCTGCCCAACAGTTGCTAGCTGTTGTTGAGCATGTTGTCCATCATGTCGCAGTTCCACATCTACTAGGATTGTGTACACACTGTTTCTTCTCGTTGGCACAATATTGTCCTGTGTGATGTTATCCTCAGGAATACAAGGTACAATGGTAGAGAAGGTAATAAGTCACGCAATATTAGTCTTAATATGATGGTACAGAGGTCATCCAAATGTGAGGTTCAACAATAATTATGTCCGGCCCAATAAAGCGTTTCCTCAGTTTTGACTTCTAGTTCTCTCCCTGCTATTTATCTGAGATTCTCTTTTCATTATTTTACCACAAGTGGCAGTAATGTTACAATCTGATTAGCTAATTTGTCCAAGGTTGGTGGTAATTAAGAGTATACAGATGATGCCGCTCGTGTCAATGTGTTCCACAATGTGTCAAGCAATATTGATGTGGATATTATGGTGAAAAAACAAATCAACAGTGGTTTTTTATCGAGTGGTCTGTATTCGTATGGACCTCGATATTTATCATCGTAGGTGGTCTATATTCGTATGGACCTTGATATTTATCATCGTAGGTGGTCTGTATTCGTATGGACCTTGATATTTATCATCGTAGGTGCATGGTCTGTATTCGTATGGACCTTGATATTTATCATCGTAGGTGGTAGTGGACTCATGAGGTGCAGTCAGGTGAGTCCACACCCACTGCATGTTGATTTGTTAATTATCTGCAGACTTTATAACATTTAATCTACTAATTTTAACCCTTTCACTCCAAGCAGTGACCCAAAAGAAAGTTCATCTGACATTTTCAATACATGTTCAAGGAGAAAAGTGATGAGAACAAAGAAAATATCAACCAAGTGATGTGGCATGGTTTAAAAGCAGTTTTGGAAAACTGAAATTAGACAGATTTTACAGAGGATTTCTTAATCTTGGCAGTGAAAGGGCTATTTATACAATTCAAATTGCGGTATATAATGTTTGTACATTTTGGCAGTAATCATAAGTGGTTAATATAAAAAAGTCTCTTCAAAAATACTTGGCAAAAAAAAAAACCCATCAATTAATTGATAATGAGGTATATTTGCACACAAAATCCACACACTGGGACTTTAACTAGAAAGTAGTGCCTATTGCACAGGGTATAGTCATGAATACAAATCATAATTTATGCTTGTGCTCTTGCAAATTTGAAAAATTAATGTCTCTGCTTGTCACATCAGCTGGTCACTCGGTACATTATCTCAGAACTCATCTTTTTCATTTCATTTGTGACATCCTTAGGTTCCATTCTTTAATGAAGCCTGTGAGGCAGCAACTCTTGGAAAAAACTGTAATCTGTTGGTCGGTTACTTGGCAGTTTACAGGATTTGTTTTGGAATGGCAGCCTTCTTCTTTCTTTTCATGATTCTTAACATTGGGGTTAGGTCCAGTAAGGACTGTCGAGGTGGACTCAACAACGGGTGAGGAGATATTTATTTTTATTTATTTATCTGTTAAAACTGGTAAAAAGTTTAAGCAAAAGAGAAACAATTGATTAATTGATTATCAATAGCATGTAGGAATCAAGGACAATAATTATGTTTTAATATAACCACACAATTGGAGCTGGATCTTTAAAATTTTCTATTMTAATCAA